TTATAAATTGACATACAAAAAGTAATGTCCTTAATGGCGAAGGGAAAGCGACATTTTTATAAAATCTATGGAAGGACATTATTTTCACTTGTAATATGTTCAGTGAAAATAATATCCAGTGAATATAACTTTTCCCCCTATATTTTACATTTAACCCATCAAATTACAGTGAAAAACAGCCAAAATGTTTTTTTCTTCAGCGAAAATTAAATCCAGCTAATAATGTATGTTACAGCAACTCCAAACAATGGACATGGGAAAATTTCTTCCTGATTTAACCGAGATCCTTTTGCTTTATCAAGAACCTTGTAACAAAATACATTGAGTATATTCTATAGCCATGAATATAATGTTCTGTATTCTTATCATGGATTGACAGAGATGCATATCAACTACAAGAAATTATAAAGTTAATAAGATATTAATGTATTATATGATTTCCAAAATCCAGCTGCCAACACATGGTCAATCCATTGCGGAGCACTATAGAGTTGTCTAGTACCTTCAGATCTTGCATTTTCATAGTATACGGATCCTCATGTCCCTGAGTTCGCATATGCAAATCTGATGACTACAAACACCAAAATGGAAATGTTTAAAAAATATCGGGTCTAAATATCTTTTTAGACAGTGTCACTTATAAAATGGACGAGAAACCGATTATTATTATTTTTACTCACCAGCATTACCTGATGCCTTCTCAGCTGTTATGGATGCCGCTTCTTTTGTTATAACAGTAAATAAAATATTATCTCCATTGTTATTGAGATCACTCAGGGATAATAGTATCTCCCTTGTTGTTGGAACCACTCAATGACTGCCATTCATAGGTTTATGCAAAACCCGAGCTGTTTGTTTATTCTATGGGTATGTTTATGTAAACATGGTACTAATGATGTTAGTGATACGTTCTGAAATGTTTGTCCGACCACTTATGCAAAATATATATGCAAAACAAATTCAACAACACATACTTCCTTGGAGTATCAACACACACAGATACACTAGCGGTTACAGGGCTCGTAAACTCCGTCTTTTCTCAGCGGGAACGGAGTAGAACGCCGTCCTGAAGAGTGAATCCATGAACGAAGTTTCGATAAATGAACATGAAATTGTGTTCACCACAATGTCACTAGGAAAAGACGAACCAAGCAAGTGTTCACTCCACGGCATTGATCTAGATTCAATCATTGGCTGGTGCGACGCGCCTGGTTGACTCTGTGGCAGTGATGATGAACTCTTATACTGGCAAGGGGACTTCTTTTTTATTTCGCGATCACGGCCCCGTTAAAGGAGTAAAAATTTAGCTAAAATATTAAAGAAAAATAAATGTGCAATGTGAACTGACGAAGCAATAATATACTAGTACTGACAACGCTTTAAATTTAGATCATTGTATCATGCAAACGCACGTAAGGGAATGATATATTCACGTCAAACCCAATAACGAACAGTCCCGGTAGAGTAGCATTGATCTGTAATTATGTTAACTCACCATCGCGTAATTCTAAAATGGCGGAAGTTGCGAAGCCATGTGTGAACCCACCTGTGCCTGAAAACAGAATTGGCAGAATAAAAAATAAGATTTGAATCTACACGTAGCTCAGTTTCAAGAGACGTTGTGTCCGGTCATTTTGCGAAAGAAATGACCGAAATTCTCGTGTTATTTTGATTTGTTTTATTCCAAGTAATAAGTTAGAACCGGGGATTTAAAACGGCAATAATGTAACTAAATGTTCGAAATTCAGTGATATATATGTACATGCAGAATTTTATTTTTAGAAAAAAAAATGCATCAGAAGAAGCAACTAAAATGGCAAATGAGTGTCAATAAGTCCTTTCAACAAAGATAATGGTCTTCGGCAAGATGTAAGCACACGGAATTAATACCTGTGGTTGAAATTATAACATATGTGTAAAAGTAGGCGAGCCATACAAATTTCATTTCCCATGATGTACTAGAGCATTACCTGGCATTACAGTGCTTTAATTATAGATTCAAGAAATATTACATATACCATATTAAAACACATTGTTGGTGAAAATGTGAATATATACGATATAAACAGTAAATAATCATAGTTCATAAACATTGCCCATTTTATTAGTCTGATATGTGATAATTTTCTTATGTGGTGTCATTTGAACAACGCCCTCTGATATGAGATATCACCCTCTATGTTATGAGCATTGTTCAAATCATGATAAAAGCATGAAATTTGAATGCTCTTATCGAAATGACCCACATGAGATGAGAGTGGGTGTTTTTCTTATTTTGGGGAGAACATTAAACTTTACATGTGTACCAAGTTCCATGCTTTTATCATAATTTGAACATTTCTTATCTGCTGGGAAACCCATAAAAACATGAATAATTCACAAATAAATGAATTCCTTCAGGTAAAAGATTAAAAGATCACATATTATTCATCATTGATATTGATATCCCCACACTGACAGTGACAATTCAGCCTTTGAGAAAGTTAACTTTTAATAAAAAAAAAAAAAGAAGCTTTTTGGCGTCATAATAAGAACAATGTTTCCAAAAAACAGAGAACAGAAGCAAGTCTGACAAATGTCAAACCTATATACCCATCTATAAGATATGAAAAAAAGGTATATTTGGCAAATCGAAATACTCATCTAGACTCTTCAGGTAAACATGTCAACACTTGAGAAGCAGAGATTCACACAATGTCACACGACTTATCAACAGATCATTTCAATATCTCAACAGATTGTAAAAAATTCTAGCAGAACTATGGTGTTGATCAGTACATTAGATTATATTTATAGTTTAAATATTTTATAAGATGAATCTCTTTAAAACATGTTTCAGTGTTAAAGGGCAAATAAATAGTATGAAATATAGCCATCAGAGACAGAAATCTTTGAGTTTAGTAGTACCTTATAAGTCTTAAATTTATTAGGTTTATTTTGATTTGTTTTGTTTTGCTAAATATAAATACTGAGGTACAAATCACGTCTCATTTTAGGAGATTACTTTCCGCTTCGTATTTTCACGTTTATTTGTCAGAGATCCTCTTCAAGAACTGTTGATAAATCTAATCTTTGAAAACTAACTTCTTGTTCAAACCTATTTGGCAACTTGCAACATTTTGTAATCCTGATACCTTTGACCTATGAATTGCAAACCAATGGGAAGTCCAGATGATGATAAATATGCAGGAACAGTGACTGCAGGCACACCTGATAAAAAGAAGAGACAGTAACTGCACAGGGACACGATAATTGTTCATATTTTTGGATTTGCATCAGCAATCTCAATGCAAAGATTGATTGTTTAAAAAATATTGCAGTTTTATAATATATATTCATGACATGCATAATGTACATCTCCACAGTGTGATGAGATAAAGAAAAAGTTCACATCACATATTGTTGATATAGGGTATGTTAATACAAATTGTGGTGAAAATGGTTCATTTTAGCATAGACCTTAGAGAACAGGGCCATAATACTGTGGGTATCCCTTTCATGTAACCTTAGTTATAATCCTCTGACAATAAATCTATGTCAACACCACTGTTACATTCTCTCCTCTTCCATAAGCCAAACATATGGCTGCCAGGGAGTAGCTACACAAAATGAGCCAACTTTGTGGTTAGAATATTATCAGAAAAATTACATTTGATTAAAACTGAATAGCCAAGTCCAAAGTGAAACTAAAAATTGCAAAGTTAACAGTTTTTATTCCATTATGAAAACAGGAAAGGAAAACAAAAATGGTCAGTTTTCTCTACAAGAAAACAAAACTGCCTAAACGTAAACAATGACCTGTCAAAATTTGTGTCATTATAGAAGTGGATTTTTCATTATATTTAGAAGAGATATAGCATAGTGCACCCGTTATACACTGACAAATGTGAATATTGGCACAGCATAACTTATCAAACATATAAAAAAGCATAGAAAGGTAACAACTAAAACTGTTTCTGACGTATATTAATGGGATTATCTACACAGGAGATGATAACCCACGTTGCATACAGGAAACTGGATTTTCCTTTGTCTCAGACAGAAGTTGCATGTCCCTGTTTTCTAAGGTCTATGATTTTAGCAAGCTCAAGTATTTTTAGAATTATTATTCAGTCCCTCTAAAAAATTTAAATTAAAATAAATCCTAGCAAAATTGGAGAAGATATCACAGAATTGCCATAAAGTAGCCATGAAGTAGAATACTGTGACAACGACAAACTTAGAATACAAGGCTGGAAAATTATATACTGTAAAACATGTTGAAAAAGCGGCATGCAATTTTAGCGAATTGTAGTAAAATGACGTAATAGTGAAATGTTGATTTTATAGCGAATCTCTTTTGTCATTGTTGATTTCTTTGTTTGGCGACCATTTTGAATTGATAATAAAGTCATTAGCGACATCTTGAATTAGCGAATCAGTTCTCTCGCTAAATTCGCGAAAAAGACATGCTCGCGAAAAAGAAATGTTTTACAGTAATCACATTCAGTGTCATTTCAAAATTTTCATGTGAAAATGGATCCCATTTTTAAATGTAACTTTTTTGTGATCATTATATCTATATAGAACAGTTAAATGTTACAAGATTCTAAACTTACCAGCCATATTTATTGGTTGTGTTAGTACATCTTGTTGTTCAGACTGTTTTCTATGATCAACGTTGTAAAGTCTTTATACGTTGGTGCATCACTAATGGTTGTTGGGGTTAATAAAATATCCACACCACTGTTAAAAACATTTATAAAATCGTCACTTATTAATCTACGTATCTTCTGAGCTTTTAAGTAATATTTCTCATACATCCTGCAAAAAATGTACATATAGTGTAGTGTTATACATAAGGTTAATATTGGTATGAGGTTTATCAAATTGACAAGCACAAAGTTCGTTATTTAATAAAAAAAAAAAGTTTGCATTTTTAAAAGCTGTAATTATTTTTAGATCAAAACAAGTCCAGTGTAGGCTCCATTAAAATCGACTTACGGGGGTATATCCCTAATAATAATTCAACCAAGGTGGCCCCTGTTTCTTTTTCTGCTTCTGTTTGGATCTCGACTGATTTTTCTCAGCAAGACCAAGGCCAAAGAGCAAGTAATACCCTTGACTTTTAGATGCTTAACCCTATTTTATTTTATTTTATTTTTTATCAGTTTCACTGATCAGGAATTTCAGAACAGAGATTAACAAAGAAAGGTATTTCATGTAGCTCACAATACACACAATTAAAGTTGGTTTGTTTGAGTTTTTAAGGATGCTATCTGTAATAATTTCACAGTGCATGTAAGTATATATTCCAGAATGATACAAACAAAACAGAAACACAACATTTTCATTGGGTGACCACATTTTTGAAATGATGAATGCACATTTCAGAAGGGAATAAGCACTCCATTCAACAAGTTATTGTCTCTCAATTTGTATATTGTAGTTCTCGGAATTGTTGTTTGACATTAATTTCATCAAAACAAAAAAACAAATTGACTATAATGAAACTGAATGCATTACAAAATGATTTGAATCGATTTGACTTTGCACGATCAAAATACATGTATGAGTACAACAATTGCAGATACAAATGACCAACTGTTAATTGAACTTTTCTTAAAACTTAAAACATGGGTAATAGTTTATTTTGTTTGACGACTAGTTGCATGCCAGACAATACATGTATTTGAAATGCTATATGTTACTAATTCCAAAAACACCTGTGAATTTGTAAATACCTCTGAATTGACTGATTTTGGGATAAATTAATTGTAGGTAAACATGATCGCGAAGTATAGTATACTGCTGCGAATAAATCTCTTTGAGATTGTGTTTTATATCTACCTTGTAATTTGTAATTCAAAGTAAATGTGTTACAATATTAAGTCTTGTCCACCTACAAAACCAGTCATACTATGTCCAAGCAATGACATGATCCATTAACAGATAACCAACAAACTCATTTGAACTACATGTGTACTTTGTTATAAAACAATGGTGCATGGAATGTGAAAGAGGAATAAAGTCAAACTGAAGTGAGATGATGATACCCTTTAAGAAGAAAATAATTGCCAGCCAGTATTCTGCCTCTAACCACATCATTAAAACCTTCATGCCTCGTCTCAGAAAACAATTCCTCCACTGAACGGTTCACATCAGCACGATGACCTGTGAAGATAAGAAATATTTGTGTCTTAATTGCTTTTTTCATTTATCATTATACACACTGGAAAGTATGGACAAATTGAAAGATTTGGAAGCCCATTAGCAGAACCGTTAATTCAAAGAATCAAGTTCCACAATCACCATGGCGACACATGGTTCATGATGCAGAAAAAGCTGTGGTTAGATAATAGAGGTATATAACAAATAAATTGTGAACATGATATTTTGAATTACTCAATTAGAATGATTGTATAACATCAGCTTTGTGGTTAACAACACTCAACTAGATGTGATTTTACCAATATGTGCCTATCAGGCTAGACACAACAGTTATGTTACATACTAATTAGGAATGATTAGGCTCTGCAACACTTTTACTATGTTGTATAATTGATTGAGGCAACATTTGATCTGATATGACTAATTTTGAACATATATTGAGCCAAATGATGTTCAGTTATCTACATGAAATCAACCCAATTTGCATGAGGTTTTTAGCAAGTCAGCACACTGATCTCTTTCCAGAACAAATCACCAACAACAAACCATTTTTATTTGAATAAACACAACCAAATAAAATATGATCTAGCACAGATTTAAAAAAAATATTTGTGGCCTTCTGGAAATTATCAGAACTAATTTTCAAAAGTTGAGGTGTCACTCAATACAATTATGCATAGTGAGTCAAATATAGTTGAAGATAATTTTGCAGTAGATATAAGAATAACTTACCAAATTCAATTCCGTCATAGCGTGCCATATTGGATGCCACTTCTGTAGCACATAGTACTGAGTAACATACAATTGAATATTGTGTATTTGGTAGACTCACTTCACTCACTTTAGCCCCTGCGTTGTCAAACAAATCGGCCGCTCTCTTCCACGATTCGATAACATCATCTGATAAAGATGGGGCATAATACTCCTAGAAAGATAATTACTTTATAAATAAAATTTAAAAAAAAAATCACTGAAAAAAGTACTCCCAACTTGTGTATACACAAAAACGTAACCAAAGTTAGGGACAACGTCAAAAGATCGATGTTGGATAAAAAACTTATTTTCTTTAGTTTGGGGGTGGGGGGTGGGTGGTTTGACCTCAAAAAGTTTCCATCCTACAAAAACGATTTTATTTGTTAATGAAGTCAAAAAAATCTTGGAGTATTTGTAGTTCGTTTTTTTCTATCCAATCATGGACAGAAATAACCGAAAAGGGGAAAAAATGGTTTGGTTCGAGTGTAAATTTGTGCGTCAAACGAGGTGCATTTGTAAAATCTTTTTACACCCACCCGACAACCAACTGCTATGCAATACTACTGTCCGATTATCAATTTGTATTTAATGGTGAATGTAGTCTGACGCCATGACCAATATTTATCAATTTAGTTTCAGTGGGGGGTAGGGGGGTTTGGAAAAAAACTAAAGAAATTAAGTTTTTTATCCGACATTGATCTTTTGACGTCGTCCCTTACTGTACAAATATTTCAGTAAGTCTTTGATCTACAAAATCCATTAAAATCTGACATGGGTATTCTAATTGTCATTGTTCAACTTTTTTGTTTTGTTTTATCAGCAGTGCAGTTTTGCATTTAGTGTTTTTGCTGACTCAGAACATTTCAAAACACTTAGTCTAGCAGTTCAAGCAGCAACATTAGACAGGGAACCAATAACAATTCATGATCAATAACCATTTATAATTTAGAAACATTCCTATTGGTGGAAATATAATTAAATCTATATAATAAATTAAGTAACATTTTTTGAAATTTTCTGTCTGACTTTTTTTCAAAGGACAAATTGACATCAATATAATAATTAAAACTTGAATGGCATGCAGTATATACACAAAGTCAAAGTCAGAGTCAACAAACCAAACTATTTGTGTAATACACATAGTGACAGTACTATTATAAGAATTTCTTTCTCATTAATTCAATGATGAAAATTCAAGTTAAAAATGCATTTTGACTGATGTGTGTAAACTTACCTTTGGAATACCTATATGTAAATTTTTAACTGTGA